CAGACGGCAAACTTGGCATTGTTCTGGGACCAGGCCATGCAGGTCACTTTTGCAGCTCCATCCTGCAGAGGCAGAGGGGGGGAGGGCAACGAGAAACCCAAGTGCTGCTCTAGGATGCCAAAAGCATTTCTAGTTCTGTTACTTCTAGTGTGGCTTCTGTCAGTTTTCCTGCAGACAAAGAGATGCCCACGATCCATCCTGGTCTCCAAGGCCAGAAAGCCCTAGAGTATGAAGACCAGGTGCTTCTAGAAACCCATAAGGCAAATGTACTAAGAGGTCACATGCTTAGTCAACTGTATCACTGTGTCCCTGCAATGGCTTTGTCCCCTCATATCCTAGGCCTGCTACTGAAATAAAGTCATTGATCTAAGTTTTGGTCTCTAGCCATTTATTCAATTATTTTTTGAGTACCTCACTGAGAAAGGCACTTGGCCAGGGGCTGAGAGGGATGCAAAGAGCAAAACATGGTGCCTGCCCCAGGATCTAATAAGACAGTGCAAAAAAGGGGAAAAGTCCCATAAGCGAGGTGTGTACAAAGCACTATAATAGTTTGGAGAAGCCTGAGATAATTTATGTTTGTATGATCAACGTTAAGCTTTGAAGAATGAATGCAGTTGAGTGGGGAAATTATCTGAGGTCCAAGGAGTGGCATGAGCAAAGGCAAGTATGGTCAGGAAATAGTAATTTAATTTAGCCAAAACTATCTTGTAAACAGCAGAATAGAAGAAGTACAGCATGTAAAACAGACTGAGGCCAGTTCAAGAAAGACCTTCAAAGCTAGGACTTTGAGTTTATTTGGTAGGTCAGGGAGATACAGTAAAAGTTCTGGAATAGGGAGTAACTAATCAGAATTGAGATTCAGGAACAATGCCACTTTGTTCCTCCCCACCCCCACTCCCCCACCCCTTAACTGTCCACTTCACAAAAGCCCAAGTTAGAAGGGATCGCCTCCCAGTGAATTGTTCTTGCCTGTCTGTCCCTTCCGCCATGAACCCTGGTCCTCTACAGGTCTGCACTAAGGATTTCCCTCCTTATTTTTTAAAAAAGATTTTATTAATTTACTTTTGGAGAGGGGAAAGGAAGGACAAAGAGAGGAAGAGCAAAATCAATGTGTGGTTGCTTCTTGCTCGCTGCTGCTGGGGACCTGGCCTGCAACCCAGGCATGTGCCCTGATTGGGAATTGAACTGGAGACCCTTTGGTTTGCAGGCCAGCACTCAGTCCACTGAGCCACACCAGCCCGGGCAGATTTCCCTCCTTGAAATAAAAAATTTAGTTTCTGCTTCAATTGTTTGATTAATTACCTGGGCTCTAGAGCCCTCATTTAAAACAGTTACTTTTCACTTCTAACCCAGTTATCTCCAAAGCCAGAGGTTTCAAAAGAGGCTTTTTTCACCAAAATCCTCAATCCACAGTCAGAAAAATCACATCACCACCAGTATCACTCTCCAACTTTTTAAAAAGGTGCCTATTACTTAAAAATAAAAATATTTTATTTATTTATTTAGAGAGAGGAAGGGAAGCAGAAAGAGAGCGAGAGAAACATTGAAGCCTCTCATCTGCCCCCATCTGGGGATCAGCCCGTGACCCAGGCAAGTGCCCTGACCAGGAATTGAACCTGCTACCTTTAGCCCTGCAGGATGACGCCCAACCAACTAAGCTAACACGGTCGGGCTCATCCTCCACCTCTCATGTCATGTTAGAAGGGCTGAGGGCTCCTCGCCAATCATCGCCAATCATCTTTCTTCATCATTTTTTTGCTCAGCCCTGGGCATTCCACCCTTTCCTGCATCATGATATCATCTTATTTTGAAAGACTGAAGGAAGATTTCACTTCCAATTATTCCATTAGGGAAAAGGAATTTTAAATAGCAGATTCAGGGGGCAGTTGACTGAGCAATGGGCACATCTCTCTTTCCTAATTTCCTTCTATTCTCCTAATGCCACATCCTTTGTTAAGCCTTCCTGATTCCCATAATCAATCAATTCTCCTTTCTCCCCAACATGTACCTCACAGGACTGTCGTGGCGATTAAATGAAGTAGGAAACAGGACAATAGTAGCTAGCCCTGAGCAAGGGCTTACCATTACCATAGACTAGGCGTTTTTCCTTTAATCCCCACCAGAGGATATTTTTACAGATTTTAGAGGGAGAGGAAGGGAGAGAGACACACATCCATGTGAGAGAGAAACAACCATTGGTTACCTCCCACCCGTGCCCCAACCCGGCATCTAACCTGCAACCCAAATATGTCGCCATGACGGGGTTCAAACCTGCAAACTTTTGGAGTACAGGACGATGCTCCAACCAACCAAATGTCCCAGCCCGGTTAGACTAGGCATGTTGATTAGTGTTTGATATGCATTTTCTTGTTTTATCTCCTAGCTGAGGAAGATGCCATTATTATGCATCTTTTACAGGTGGGGATACTGAGGCTCACAGAGGTTTGAGTAATTTGCTCATTTACCTATACAATTTGTAAGTGACAGAACCAAGACTTAATCCATGTGTGTCTGACTTCATAAACCATGATCCTAACTTCTTTACTTATGCTATTAAACATTCAGTTATGACAGGCATTATTATTAGTTTTGCATTATTTTGCATTCTTTGGATTTTGAATGTCCCTCTCTCTTTTCTATCCGTTTTTTTTTTTACACTGTTTTGCAGTTCACAATGTTCTTTTGTGTTATTGTACCTCCTCCAACTCTTCCTACATCCCCTAAGGCTGCGAGTAGGGGCGTTGCTGAGAGAGACTGTGGGACAAGGGCTAAGGCCTGAGGCATCAGGTCATTTAAATATTTAAAGTAGTGGTGGCGCTAGGACTTGAATTCTCGTTTCCTAACTTCCAAGCTCTGCCTTTCTTCAACACGTTTCGGGGCTCCTCCCCCAGTACTCAGCCTCTTCTGCATCGGAGATCTTCACCATCAGGACGAACGGTGCGGTCTTCTGCACTGCCTCTTTGGGGGCTTGCACTTAAAGCACTTATTTAACTCGGTGTAGCCTGCACGCCTTGTTTACCTGCACGCCTCTCCCCCTAGTCCGAGCCGTTTGCAGGCAGGAACAGTAACAACTAGTTCTGGATCCCTTCGAGCCCCTGCACGGGGCCTGGTACCAAACTGATGCTAAATGAAACGCGGTGAAAGCTGCAGGGGTTGGCGGTCAATCTCGCCTACTGAACACTATCGGCGCAGCAGAGTCGCTATATCCTTTAGTTTTCTGCACACAGTAGGCGCTCGGCATTCTTAAGCTTCAGTCCCCCACTTTTCTTGGAACGTTAAGGCGGGCGGGGGAGGGAAAAGGCACGCAACTCCTCACCTGAGGGCTCAGCAGGGTTCTTAGGTGCTTCAACTGCATGACGAACACCTGTCTTTCAGATGCCACCAGACCGCGACAACTCCGGTGGTTACCTGGACAACCCGCCACGCAGCCGCGGCGACGCCGCTGACGCAGATGCGACCAGAGCGCAACACGCGTCGCAAGGTCAACACGTAAGTTCGCCGCGAAGCAAACAGAAGGTGCGCAGGCGCAGTGAGATTTAGGGCGGGACCTGGCCGGGACTTGATGAGTTATCTCTTTGACCAATTACGTCGCTGCTCGAAAACTCAAGCTCTATCCTCGCTCAGCATCTGCTGCAAACCCGGGGACTATGTAATCGCAGTCTTTCTCGTTCTTTGATGTACGTCATCGTGACCGAGTGCATTCTTTTCATCTCAACAGTCCTGAGGGAAAGCAGGGCAGTTGCTATTCTGGACCGTTTACAGTTGACAGAATGGAATCCGAATGAGTTACATATATGACTTGCACGGGATCACAAGGCTAATAAAGAGTGAATGAGTACTCAGTGTGTGTCCGCCAGGTTTACTGTTGCAAAGTGTTGCACGTGCATTATCTCATTTGCGCTCAAAGATGCCTTTTTTAAAGATTTTATATATTTTTTAGAGAGAGGGCAAGGGAGGGAGAGAGGGAAAGAAACATGGATTGGTTGCCTCTTGCATGTGCCCCCACGGGGGGCGGGGGGCGGTCCGCAACCCAGGCAAGTGCCCTAATTGGGAATTGAACCGGCGACCTTTCGCTTTGTGGGATGACACCCAACCAGCTGAGCCAAACCAGTCAAGACTCAAAGCCACCTTTTGAAGGGGATAGCATTATCATTTTACGTAAGAGGAGCCTCAGGGTTGGAGGGGTGGTTATCTCAAGACCCCAGTCAGTTAAGCCTGGAACTGGGATTTAATCCAGAGCTGGCACATTTGAACACCCTTTATATTCCTTCTCAACTCCCACCTCCCTGTCTCCATGCCTCTGTACCCTGCCTGTGACACTCCCGTCCCAAGAAATGATGTGTCCAGCCTGAGAAATGAGTGTTTTGGAACAGGTGACCAGGGACAGGTAAGGTAAGCTGCTTCCAAATTGGGTAATGGTGGGTTAAAGACTGCTGATCAGGTCAGGATACTTTCATGGTTCAGGGTACAGGGCAAATCAGAAATTGGCTCACCTGATCGGTGAAGGTTGTCTTGTGATGCCTGGATGTGGGGCTTGATTAAGTAGGAAAGATACTGACTTGCTGATCTTTGGATTGGGGTCTCTTTCAGCATTATTGGCTTAATTTCTTGTAACATACCAGAGAGATCAAGATTCAGAAAACAAGAGTTATTCCTAAGCCTCCTCTGGAAGGATCTGTAGTTGAGAAGACGTGTGACCCTCCAGGAAGTGGACCATATGCTGTCCAGACAGACTCTGGGTTCTGAAGCCTTGCCCCCACCGTGGCTGCAAATGTTAACTGGCATTTCACTGGCAGCAGCTGCGCTTGGGACTTAGGGAAGAGTAGAGGACAGACCCTATTTTTACAGAAAACAAATAGGCCACAGGGCCCAAATTATAATTCTTTTGACAAGGGCATTTGAACCCTTCAGCTTTATTTCCAGAATCCTTCTCTGGATATAGTGGCAAAGAGTGAGCATAAAATCATTTATGCTTTACAATTATTATTGCCTTTGACTGAATGAACAGAAACAGAGACAAAAGGGAAGGCAAAGGCATGGAGGAATAGGCACAGGAACGCACGGGAGGAGCACATGGCACTGAGGGATCCATTAGTGTAGCTGCTCTTTCATCTGTCCCAAGACACTGTTCAGTCCTTTTCTGAAAATGAGCTCGGGGTGGATGGAGGAGTCAGAAGAATAAATGGCGAGGAGCCGGGCTGCTGATGTGAAGATCAAAAAAGGCTACTGGCCCTCTCATGTGACTAACATTAGTTTCCACTAGTGCAGGAAGAATTTATATCCTCTTCTTTCCTTCTCCCCTTTCTAACCCAACAAAGCAAAAGTAACCAGGGCTCCAGTTTTCTGTACCCCTTTCTAACCTCCTTACACCCATTGCAGGCTGGAGAATCAAAGCAAACACCTTACAGTGAGAGTTTGCTCCTGTCAAGTTGGTGGTGGAATGAGGGGCCCTTGTAGTGAGAGGAGAGAAGGTGTGGAAATGCCTTCAGCATAGTATACAGTATACTGTACAGTCAGCTCCAGTTTGCCCAAAACCTTTATTGGAAAATGTCCAAGGGGTGAGATCACCAGCAGCTGGGGGTGCTGCCAGGTAAGAGGGGGAGCACCTGAGGCTCCATGGAAGACATTGGAGTAGTGCAGTGCAGTGTCTGTCTTTTTTTATTTGCTGGGGGAGGGGGCGTACCCACAAAAACCCCTCACTGAGACCCAGAGGCAAAATGTGGGGGCAGCTGGGGATGCTGAGAGTCCTGATGCAGGTGAAATTGGGGCCCCACTTGGGACCTAATGGGATAGGGTTGAACAAGTGATTCTCCCCTGGACCTGGGGGATGGAAAGACACATCCCATCTGAGAGCCACTCCCCAGGTCCAGGGGCACAGACCCTAGCATACCTACCTTCTAGCCCTGTTCACAGTGGAAAGAGGATGGGTACCAGGCCTGAGAGTGTGGGAGTGTCATTATCTTCTGGGAGACTGTGGGATCCTTCAGTCTTGGGCAGATCACCATCTTAGGCTCTCCCTGACCCCATCCCCATCCCCAGGTTGTTAGGGCATCTCTCTTCTGGTTCTGTGTCTTCACTCATACGTCTATGGTATTGATGGATGGTGACTTTTTCTGTGAATTAAAATGGCTTGAGTCTCTAATTTCAGAAAGAACATAGCCTCTTCCATGCCAAATGTTCATTCTCCCTTTTCCGGCCCCTCCTCGGCCTTCTCCCTTTTCCCTGGCTGCTCCTAGAGGCAAAATCCCCCTTCCCTCCCTCACTGGCCCCACGTTACCTGTCTGGTCCCCACTGGCCTTCCCTGAGGACTGTGCTCTGGCCCCTTGCCCTTTTCCTTGGGGTTGTTGTTGGAGTCATTGTCCTTGATGATATCATACTGACGGCAGAACAGCCCGATTACAGCTGAAACACAACAATGTGATCTGAGCATTGATCCCGACCTCCCCAGGCACATCCTCAAAGGGCAGTGAGACACCCCCAGTTTACAGAGAATCTGAGAAGAAAATCCTTGAGTTCCTGGTGCCCGTGCACCCCAAGCACCACCCTCTTAATCCTTCTCTTCGAGCTCCCCACAGCCTCCTCTCCTCTCCAAACTTCTGCTCATCCATCTCATCTTCCCCCTCCATTTCCCTCACCCCCTTTCTCCCAACAACATTCACCCCCTCCCACCCTCACTGAGGCCGTTCCCTCAATTACTGGTTCCCTGTCCAGCTGCGTACTCACCGGCCCACATCAGCAACACCACCACGATGATGACCACTTCCCCTGTCTGTAACGGTCGCTCTCCATCCAGACCCTCCACTGTGATGTCACCTGAGAAGGAAGGAGACGGACTCTGGGTTGTGCGGAGTAGCTAGAGAGCTGTGTCTCTGCAGACAGTTAAGGATGGAGAGACTGGGGGTGAAAGTCCGGCTAGACCCATCACGTGGTTGCCCCCTGGTAGCCCCTCTCTGGGAAGCTGTTGATGGACAGGTGGTCAGAGGCCAAAACGCCCGGAGGGCTACAGGTCAGGTACTTGCTCACGCAGGCTGCAGCTGCTGAGAACTGAGGTTGGATAAAAGGAAGCTTAAAGAAGCCCTTCCTCCAAACGATTCATTACCAGCGTGTCTATACCCCCGTCGCCTGCCAACCTGCTTTCCTTCCTTTCCTGGCAGTACAAGGAATTAAGTCATCCTTCTATTCATCTAAGCTAGACTGTTGCTTGCTTTGGAGAAGTAAACAAGGGGCTTAAAGTCGAGATAAAAAGCCAGAGAATGCCAAGCTTTAGGGCGTGGGGGAGAGCTGAGACCCTCACCTGGGCTCGAGCTGTTTGAAGGCAGCCGGTCAGAACCCTTGAGTGTTCGAAAGTGCACGCGGGGCCCTGGGGGGCTCTCTCCCCGAAGGCCGATGCTCCTGACCTGCACTGTGTAGTCACTGTCTTCAGCCAGGCCCCAGAGGGCACAGGCGCGAGTGGTGGTGTTCACCTCCCGGATCACACGCTGTCCGGGGCCATTCTGTCGCTGCAGGGAGACAGTGAGAGGGAGGGGGGCAGCCTCAGCCCGGTCTCAGGCCACAGGCTCGCCCCAGGACTCTCGAACACCCGAACATCCGAGCGCCCAGAGGGAGTAAGATGGAAAGGGCAGTGTGAGCCAGGGAACACAAGCTCCCAGATTCTCTCCCCCCTGGGTGGAGGTTGGGGGTGGGGTTGGGGTTGGGGGAGGAGGTTACTGAAGGGATATTCAGAGATCCAAGGACACAAGTTAGGGGAGCAGAAGGGTGATTCATACTTGCTGGGAAATGGAGTAGCCAATGACGATGTTGCCTTCTGGGACGTCCCAGGACACAGTGGCCGAGTTGGCTCTGAGGTGAGTGACTGTCACATTCACAGGAGATGGAGGCCGGTCTGCGAGTGCCAGTACGTCAACAGTTAACAGCTTCCCCCCGCCCGCAGACTGGCTCTGGCTCCCCCAACCCGTCCTCCTTCACTCACCTGCTCGCACGAAGCCCAGGTCACAGCTGACCAGCAGGAGGACCGTGGGGCTTAGGTACGGGGAGAGGGGCGTCAGCGTAGCCATGGTCCCCACCGAGTCCGCTAGGAGGCACTGGGACATCCGCTGGACATCCAGGCGGGGCTCCTGGGGTGGCAGGAGTTGGTGGGGGGACGGTGGTCAAGGACTGTCCAGAACCCACGAGTGGGCAGCAACTCTCCCGGGCTCCCCGCGGCCCACGGCAACCCCAGAACTCCCCTTTCCCCACGCCTGCCCCATCCCTGCATCCCCAGTGCGCGGCTCTGCCCTACCCACACCCACCTCCGCCGGTCCTCGCGGTCGGTCAGGCCTCGGGGGGCTGCTCGGTGCCCAGTGGGCGACCCATCGCCCGAGTTGGTGGTGCTGCCCCTACCCCATCCCGGCGCGGGCCCGGCGAGGCGGGTAGCACGAGGCCGAGCAGCGGGCAGAGGGCGGAGGCGTAGCGGGCGCGGGTTGCGGGGCTGCGGGGCCCCCAGAGCTCGCGACGGCGGCGTAGTCTGTGGGTGAGCGAGGGGCGCTGGGCGAGCCGCGGGCCTGGGTCCCCCGGCGCGGGAGGCTGCGCGGCTGTCTCCTGGGGCCCCTGCGGCGGGATGTGACCGTTCCGGCGAGCCAGCCGCTTCCGTCTGCAGAGCTGGCCCCGCTCGCTCCGCCGCAGCCCGGCCAGGACGTGCGGGTCCCCGCCCCGCCCCTCCCCGTCCCTCCCCATTGGGGTTCCTGCCGCCGTCATCCCCCGCCCCCTCCTGCCCTCACCCCTTTCTCTCAGGGTTCCTCCCACGACCCTCGCAGGAGTGGCTCCCCCGCGCGCCCCCATTCCTTCAGCTATCTCCTCCCCGGCTGCGTCCCACGAGCCTGCGGGGGCGACGGCAGAGGCACGCGTGCGAGGGTCTCCGGCCCGGCCGCCCCACCCCTCCCCGATGGACTAGCCGGTTGGGAGGGGGGATTCCCCCTCCAGCGCGGAGGGCACAGTGGTCGAGGTCATTGTTTTAACAATCTCCTACTTGTAGACTGCGTCAGCTTTTAGGTCTTTTCCCCATTCATAATGTGATATTTATTCCCTTCATTCTCTCATTCATTCTTTTATTTATTAAGGGACTATTTATCGAGGGTCGCCTATGTGCCTGAGATACAATGATTACTAAGAGGACTGAGTTTGTAGGGGGAGATTTAGCCAGCAATGACTTGAGGTATCTTGTCTTCCCTTTTCAACTTACTGGGTGGCCTTGGGAAGTCGATTAATCTACGTCTCAGGTTTCCCACCTGTAAACCGGAGTCCAAAATGTCGCAGGACTGTTGTGACAACAGATCAAATGAGACAAGGTTGGGGAAGGGTCTTTACGAATCTTACCACACTGCGTGAACGAGAGATTCTCAATTTGCACCGATCTGTTAGTTACTTTATTCATTCAATAAACATCTAATAAATCCTCAGTGTTTTCCTGCTTTGGCTGAGCGTGGGGTCTGGAGTCGGAACCCGGGTGTCAGTGCCAATTCTGTCAGTGTGACCTTCGGCCACCAACGACTTCTGAGCCCCCATTCCGTGGCCTGAGAAAGGAGGTGGTAGTGCTGTCCTCTTAGCGTTAATCTAGCGGGTGAACTGCTGTATGGGAAAAGTGCATTGCTCAATGTAAGTTGAAGTTGGATAACATATTTAGGGCAGACACTTTGTTGTCTAATCTTCATTGCAGTGTTTCTATTTCTGTGGTGCTTCCCCCGTGATATCCAGTTCAGTGTGCTCGCCCCCGGGGCTCTGAAGCCTCTGTTGTCTTCCTTCTGAGCGGAGAGTGATGTGGGGCAAGTGGGGCACAGACAACTGGGCCGCTGTGTGCGTTGAGCCTGTGATCAAACCACGGCCTTGGGCCCTCTGACCTCTGTTGACCCTGAGGACCCGGGTCTTCGGCCCCCTGATACATTCCTGGTCCCAGAGCATCTTCCCAGGATTCTCGCTGCCCTGGGACTGGGTCTGGGTATGATCCTGCACTTCTAGGCTCCAGGCCATCAAGAAAGAAGCTATTGTACGAAAGGGCAAGCGTAATGAACCTCGGGTCTTCCTCTTCAGGGACAAAGCAGGGGCTGGAGAGTCTAGGCACACATAAAGAGGGGCTCCAGAAGCTCCCCTGGGGTTACTTGCTGCCTAGAGATCAGGAGAGGGTACAGGCAGCAGGCTCAGAGGGGCCGAGGTACTTGGGTTAATCATCACTGCAGCACAGATAAGGCCCTGACAGCTGGAAGTAGAAGTACTGTGACAGAAAGGTTTGCGTGGCTGACAAGGCAGTCAGGGTACTGTGTCCACTGTGTGGGACCGTGCTGGGCACAAAACAGTTTTAACATGTGATTGAGCCCTGGAACCTGGCAAATGGGAGGTGAGACCTTTCTTCATGTTGGCCTTCTGCACCGATTCCTAGAATCACTTCTCACCTGGACTTCCTTCCACCTCGGGTTTCTGCTCATCCCCTCCTCCTTTCCATCTTCCTTCCAGATCCTCTTTTATTAATAGGCCCAGAGTACCAAGTGCAGGGTAAGTCTGTGTGCGTGTGTGTCTGTGTGTGAGTGTGTACACACACCTTGGAGATAAAAACTGAGGATAACCACAGTAGCTTACCCAAATATACCCAGCTGATAGATAATTGAAAGATAACACTGATTTTATTTATTTATTTACTTATTATTTGCTTAGTTATTTACAGTTCAAGAACAAAGCTGCTTTCAGTCTTTTCTGGAACAAGTAAGGGTTTGAATACATAGCTAAGCCAGCATTTGGAGCAAGACTGAAATTTCTTTCTCGAGTCCAGCATCCCCTTTACTATACCACACTGCCTATGCTCTGTCCACTTTTGTGATAAGAGGACGGTTAAGGAGTCTCCCCAATTTTTCTTCTGTTCCCAACAAAGAAAAGAGTCTGCTTCCCCTAACCAGAGCTGGGCCCCGGTGACCTGGGCCTTCTCCTTCTTTGGGAGCTTGAGGTGGGGCGGTGGTCCTGAGTGGAGAAGGCCCATCTGGCATTCCTCGTGTCGAGGAGTGCTCTAATCCCTGGATCTCAGGCTGACCTTTGGGACCATAAAGGTCCTCACAGCTAAACACCTCGGTGGACCCCTCCAGTCCTCTCTCCTCTTCCAGAAGATACATCTCACCATGGAGTCCCTTTTCTTCTGAGCTCATCTGAGCCCCACCAGTCTATTGCCAACATCTCTATACCCCATGCTCCCCCAGTGGGCCATCTCCAAGTGGCAACTTTAAGTGCCAGCTCCCAAGCAGTGCTGGCTTAAGCACTGGCCCCAGAGAGTCATTACATAGCCTCTGACCTCTAGGTGTTAAAAGTCCAAGATAGTTGATAATATCATTACCGCTCCACATCCTCTCCCCCTTGACAGGTCGCCTCTAACCTGCTGATAAAAGGTCTAGTACTGAAATCCCTTTACACCTACCTCATGTAGGAGGTGACGGGTTAGCCAAGTTGGCCTATGAATATTTTGTTTGGCAGGGAGAGTGTTTTTTTAGACATTGAATTTGAATGCTTTTAGATGGAGATTGTATCCAGTTTGCTTTGTTCCTACAATCCCTCATTGCCTTCCACTTGGCCCACTTCACCTGCCTATATTTCCTGACTGGCCTTTGTGGGTAGCTGAGCTTTTCAACCCTACAGTGTCTGTCATGGTGTCCAACAAATGGTAGGTGCTCATTCAATGGTAATTTTCTCTTCATCCCCTTCTCTCACAGCAGCCTGCCCTAAACCATAGGCTTTTGCTTTGCAACTAGTGTTACTGACCTTGAGTCTATCCTCTAGGTGGCCTCTAGGGAGGGGACAGAAGATAGTGCCCTGAATGGGACTGAGGAACTGAAGAATGTCTGTGTTTTGCACCAACACATGCCCACAGACCTCTGTCTGTTCCTTCTCATGGGGCCATGAAATCCCCAACATCCAGCAAAAGGCCCTTCCCTCCCTGGTCCTGGGCCTGACATCCCCACGTAATAGGTATGTACCCTGGGCTCTTCCTGGTGGCATTACCTCACCCACCCTGCTCTCCTAGGTGGAAGCTGGGAAGAAGAGGGTGTCACTGCCACTTCAGTGGGACTCTGTGAGTGTGAACATGGGCTGGGTGGGTCAATTTTACTGGGCAGGGGGTGGAAATAGAACAGCATGAAAGATAGATTGGCAAGGTAGGTTCTAGAAAACAGAAGGGGTTTGCACAAGGAATTTTGATTTTAGTCTCACTAATTAGGATCCACTTGAATGAATGTGGGATGAGGGGGAAGGGATCACATCTCAGAATAACTGTGAATCAGTCCGTTCAACAACCAGGATAGATGGACTAGCCCAGGTTTCTGCAGACTATGCTGGCAGGTCAGTCCAGCTGCTGCCTGTTTTTATAAACAAAGTTTTATTGGAACACAGCCATTTGTGTTTATGTATTGTCTATGGTCATTTTCACGTTACAGTGATAGGGTTGAGTGGCTGGACAGAGATCATAGGGCCCCTAAAGCCTAAAACAGTTACTCTCTGGCTCTTTATAGAAGTTGACCCCTGGACTAGTCCCTTGCTCCTGAAAGTGCGGCAGCAACCTCAGTATCACCTGGGACTCATTAGAAACACAGACTCTCAGCTCCACTGCAGACCCACTGAGTCTGAGTCTGCGTTTCAGCACGATTCCTGGGCAACTTGTTTGAGAAGCACTGGGCTGGATGACCCCGGGTTTCCTCCCAGCTCCCTGACTCTAAGAACTCCCAGAGCAGAAACTAGATCCAAGCAGTGCTGGATGTGGAGGGAGGTGCATGAGGAGATCAGGACACTGACCTCAAGGAGCTTGCAATAATTTAGTTCAGTAGTTTTCAAACTTCATTGCGCAGAAGCCTCCATGGCAGCGGGGGGGGCGGGGGGGGATGGGACTTGTTTACAATGTTGGTCTGTGGGCTCCCCGCCTCTTCAGATTTGGATCTGGTAGATCTTAACTGGGGCTGGGAACCTGCATCTATAACAGGCATTCTGGGAGATTCTGATGCAGATGGACCTTGGGAAACACTGGAGTAACCCCCACTCATCATGCCCTCCTCTCTCTCCCCCGCCATCAGGCCCCTTCTGTGGCAGGCCAGATGGACTACGGCGCGGATAACCCAGCCATCTTTTTGCCAGTCCTGGTTGGTCTCAACCCAGTGAGCATGGTCAGGTGAGCCTTTGGTAATGGAAGGTGGGGACTGGCCAGACTCCTGGGGGACACTGGGAGGGAACTTGTCAAAATATAGAGTACAGTCTCAAAGAAGAGGGCTGGGTAAATATGGTTTTGTTCACCAAATCTCAGGATTTTAAAGTAAAGATGGGGTCCCTCAGCTTATGAGTTTCTTTTATTTTGTTGGATGGTTTCATTATTCTCTTGTTTGAGGAAGGTCGAAGGCAGTTTACAGAGGGTACATAGAATACGAGAAAGCACACATTCGAACCAGGGATTGAAGAGGCAGGGACAAAAAAGCGGGTCCTGAAAATGCACACCACGAAGATCCGGACTTGCGTGTGACGCGGGCCCTGAGCATCTTTCCACAGAAAGCGTCATGAGTGCTGAGTGGCCTCCTGTCCTTTGCCAAGCTGCCTAATTTCAGTGCTCATTCCCCATCATTCCGGGCCCCCTGGTCCCCTCCGGTTATTC